CTTCGTGATTCTTGCGCAGCAAATCAAGAAAAAACCTGCGTGTTAGTGCCAATTTTCTTTCAGTAGACTTCTCAAGGTGTGTTTTCAATCTTGGACAATTCAACCAGCTAAAAATTTACGTAAAAAGCGCGTGATGAGCGCGTTACTGCTGAGCAAACTTCTAGTTCAGCATCTAAGCATCAGTTGTCTTTTTTCACGTAAAACTGGTATTTTTAAGTAAAGAATGCGAGGCATTTTGTCAATTTTCATTGACATTGGATGAGAGCAAGCTTGTTTTGAAACTTAGTGTTTGTTCAGTGTTCTCTTGCTTTGTGTATACCACTTTCCAAAATCCTAGGATTCTCCTAAAATACCAGCCTTTATGAGGTAAAATTCAATTCTGGCTTTTCCCTACCCTAATAATTTTACTCCTTCCAGCTTGTTTATAATCGATGCCGCAATTATGAGCTGCTGGTCGACGATGTTTCTTACAGAAAACCCCATGACATAAACATTCTATCTGTTGTTCTGTCAGTTTAAGTTTTCGATGACAAAACTGAAAGAAAGGTTGTTATTGTCACCTCACTTCACGTCAGCTGACAGTTCAGCTGACCTGACAAGTTGTTTTCGTCGACTTCTTCTCCGCTTCTCTGATTTGGAGTAATTCTTCTACGCTTGAAGGAGGCAATGACATGGGATGCTGTAACAGCATCAGTTCCTCGACCGATTCCGGCGGATCAAAAAAGAGCTGAAAATTCATTGGAAGAAAGGCTCTGCTGAAATGCTGTCGAGAAGGACCGCACCTTCATATGCTTATCCGTCAGATATCTGTCTGGCTCATAAGTTTTAGACGACGAAAATGCAGGTGCTGGAATACTGGGCGAACTTGAAGAACTTGGCGATATACTGAAAGGTTTCTGTTCTTTGCAGTTATACTCTGTTTTTAAAGATATACCTCGAATGTGATTTTGGTGTAGAGACATCAGTATCCGAGAGAAGACGAGTTTTTCTTTGCCGAACTTTGCGAAGAAGCCTCTGAAATGAAGGAATTGAATCTATGAGATAAGCATACTTTTCACACACCATCATCTTATTTCTGGTAAGTTCATGCTCCATCTGCTTGGCTGCACAGCTAAGTGAGTGATCGTAATTGGGTAAGTTATCTCTGTGTGAGTACTTTTGTCGGCTGCAAATATCTA